GCAATATGCTTGGGTTTAGAGAAGTGAGCCAATTCCATCTCCAAAGCCAGCTTTGTATATTTGGGAATTTGGGCGTAGCTTCTCTTACTACTTCCTGCTGGAGGGGGCACTGTATCTTATGGGGACACAAAGAAAATTTTAGGATTATGGAGTAGTCTATGAGGGTGTATCGTCTGAGCCAGTTGCCTTGAAATGGTTCTGAATGATGGATCATCTGGGCCTTGGTGTCATCGGAGACTTTTCAGGGGGTCTTGGCTGGTCAAACCTGATGCATATTAATCTGGAACAAATCCATAGCCTCTGGCTTTCTGTGGAAATAAAAGCAGAGCCTCTTTTCCGAAGCAACATATCCTTAGATCCAAATTTTGAAGTCAAGGTATCTTTAAAATATACATTTTTGTTTAACTCAACAGCTTTTACCATCAAATGTTTTTCTGCAGTTAAAAATCCCAAAGACAACACAATCCAGATTCTCTGTGTAATATCCATCTTTATGTGGCTTATTTTTTATGCTAGCTTTACTGTCTCTTTAAAAACTTCCCAGAATTCTTCTCCTCCTTGTCCTGACTATACTTCCTGCCTAGCTACTGGCCAATCAGTGTTTTATTTATTGACCAATCAGAGCAACACATTTGACATACAGACCATCCCACAGCACTTCCCCTCTGGCAAGTGGGAGGCTGAGTCAGAGAGACACTGCCAGCTGCCACCATGACAAGCAGCATGTGAAGATGCCAGTAAGCCATGAGCCACATGGCAAAGTATAGATTTATAGAAATGGGTTAATTTAAGATATAAGAACAGTTAACAAGAAGCCTGAGCCATTAGACCAAACAGTTTAAATAATATAACAATCTTTGTGTTTATTTTATAAGTGGGCTGTCAGACTGCTAGGGCTTGGTGGGACCTGGAGAGAAAACTCTCCAGCTACAGATGGCTTAGGCTTATTACTAGATAGTTGTTATATTTAACTCAACCCATTTCTATTAATCTATGTATTGCCACATGACCGTGGCATTACCAGTTTGCTGGCATGTTTTTCCTTGGGCAGCTGGCTGGCATCGCCCAGATTCTGCCCTTCTTCTCTTATAACTCTGCTTGGATTTCCCACTTGTTTCTATCCTGCCTTGCCATGGGCCAAAGCAGCTTTATTTATCTACCAGTGAGAGGAACACATATTCTCAGCATACAGAAAGATATCCCACAGCAACTCATTTTTACCTTTTTTGGTGGCTGAAGAGTTCAGGAAAATAATATTCTAGCTTCATATGAGAATTACATGTAATTCAAAATTCAGTGCTCATCAGGTTTTATGAACACATGGCCTCTTGATTATAGTGGCTTTTGTCTGCATGTGCTGTTGAGTTGCTGTGATGTCCACTATACAGTCTTCCAAGCCCAACATACCCACCCTCTGGCTCTTTATATTACTGATCTTAGACTTTCTGCTTTCTGTGTTTCCTGACTGCTGACCTTGCTTTCCCTGGGGTGAGACCTGTAACCTCTCACTCAGTTCTCCACTCATGTCCAGGCCTCTTGACTCGATTCTCTTCTATACCTTCAGAGCTCTCCCCCCATTTCATGCACACTGTCCTTATCCTTTCTTGGGGGTGGAGAGATGATGGCGATCTGACTTTTACTGCTATAGTGAGAGCAGGGTGTACTTATGACTAAAAAGGATTCTGTTCTTAGCTTTGCATGTTTCTCCATCTGTAGGAAGTGGGGCACTAGGTGAGACAAACCCATTGCCATGTAGCACAAGCACCTTCCTTTCTGCAAGTCCCCAGTCCTTTATGATGGTAACTACATGATTCATCATTTACCCTCACAACATAAAGGAAGAAATTATGACAGCCTATGAGACCCACTCCAGGCTGCAGAACAGGGCTCAAAGAGAAAGCCACCGCATAGCAAAACTTAGGACTTTTATCTGAGGGGATTTTTAGGAATGGAATGAATTCACATGCATTCTGATGGTTACTTTCTTTTTTCTGTCATGTTGAGTCTTCCTTAGTCTCTCATATTGGCTTCTCTCTTCCTGTTACACTCATGTTGTTCTCTCTTGTTGCTCCATTTTATTATGTCTTTTTAAAGTTTATATATCCCAAATAATTATTTCAGGCAATATAAGAGTCATAAAAAGGTCACATTACAAAGGTAAAGATTGTGTGTAACTTTTAATTATCTAAGAACACCTACAGCCCTCATTAGGGACTACAGAGTTAAGTTATTTTCTGTAGCCTTGACTAATTAGAACATATTTTCACAAATTGAGGTTAGGAATGGTGCAAGGACTTAGTCATTTGTAAGCTAGCATTAACTGGGCTTTTTATTTATAACCTAGCCAAACAGTTGTGTGGCCTTGTGAACTAAAAGATTGGGAATGTTTATCTAAAAAACCATTAGTAAAGCATCTGGTCTCATCTAGAGCTCTTTTGAAGCCTAATATCACCTTATGATGCACAAGAAACCTGTGACTGGCTCTTGGACTCAAATGTTTTTCTAAATTATAAATATGAGCTGTGATATAAAACAGTTCTTTTAGTGGAACTCAATAGGCCCTGACTGTGTCAAAATTATACAGCATCTTCCTGACAATCCACAGATAAATGCTCATTAAATCGAGATGCAATCATGAGATAGACACACTACAATACTGGCAATAGGGGACGCCCCACATATAAATACATCATATCAGATACTAGAGAAGAGCATGTAGCAGCAACAATATGGAGGCACAGCATAAGCAAAAGACATTCTGGAGTCTGAACTTCTGGTAGGCTGACCCCTGAATATTAGTTGTCATCTGCTGTTGTTCAGACATGGTCATGGGCAAGAAATACGTTCTTCTTTCATACTTTATTTACATAATGGTATTTAGAAGAAAATTCCTGACATGTCTGATGCAAGGGAGTCAAATGAGAGTGAAACTGAGGTGCCCCAGAACAGAGATTGTGAACATTGCGGGAAGGAGCTGATGGCAGAAATCACTTGAAAAGGCTCAGTTCCCCTTGGTAATAAGCAAGTTAATTAAAATGGCAATCAAAATCAAACCACACACAATAATGAAAATGTGGAGGCCCATGCATGGCTTGACTCTGTAAAGCATCTTAGCTACCCAGCTCACCTCCTGCTCCTTCAGCTCCTGCTTTTGCCTCTCCACCTCCTGCCTCACCTTCGACAGGTAGCACCTATAGGCTTCCTGATGCTCACTCTTGTCACCACTAAGGAACACATGGGCATGAAGGAAGAGGTCATTGCTGTAGAAAGAGCTCTCACACTCCTGCTCCAGCCTCCTCACCACGGTCATGAGCTCTGCCAACTGTCCCTGCTGCTCTTCCCCTGAGGCCCTGTTATTAAAGGCACAGTACCTCCTCCCACACTCCTGGACCAGGCTGCGCAGGCTGTGGTTGTCAGTGTGGGTCACAAACCCATCCAAGGTCTCATCTGTCAGGTCTTCCTTGTGGGTGAAGAGGATGATCATGTGCTTCATGACTCCTGCCCCAAAGATCTCCTTCACCCTCCTCACGGCCATGGTGTCCTGGGCTGTGAAGCGTCCCAGCTGGGTCACCAGCAGCAGCACGTGGGGGCCTGGGGCACACAGCAGGTAGCAGTCTCCAATGTCCTTGTCCATGTCTTGGTTCTGAGCCTTTGACTCAAAGATGGGGGGTGTGTCTACCACTAGGAAGCTCCTTCCCTCCCATGTGCCTATCTCTGCCTGGCTGGTCCTGGTCACCGACTGGGCTCTGAGCCTGGACTTGAATGCTTGTCGGCAGAGGATGCTGTTCCCTGTGGCACTTTTCCCACAGCCAGATTTGCCCACCAGGAGGATCCTCAGCCAGTATGATTCTGCTGCATGGTAGACGCCCCTGTTCCCTGTGGACAAGAGAAGGTTTGTGCCTCACTTAGCGATTCTTCGGGCTTTGACATCATGGGTCCTTGCAAATGTCTCCTGAAATCAATGGTCCTCAGTCCCAGAAAAACAGGTGTCATTCAAATTTTCCCAACTGTTTGCCTATAATTTTAGGTGGTTCTTGGCTTTCATGAAGTCCCTGTTGGGAACCCATTCTAGAACACATGGGCAGGGGGTGGGACTGCCACAGGAAAGAGAGGCTCTGTTGCATCTGGCCCACAACAAATATGTCAATTCTGAATTACAGGTCCCTGTGCTCTCCCCTGGAGGATGCTCAGGGTATCTCCCCAGAAAACTGGCTGTGAAATAAGTTTGAGTTTAGAAGAGGCAGAGATGAGAAGTCATAAGTGACAAAACAGAGTCACCTCTTTTACCCACAATGTTCCAGACATGCTGTGTAAATGTGCTCAGCGTGTGCCCCCAGAGGTTATTTCAGGTGGACGAGCTGTAGTGACTCACACTCAGGGCCAGCTGATAGCCTAGGAAGCAAAGTGGGATTTGAGACGGGGGACAATGACAGTTAGTACCAGGTCAAAGTTGGGAAATGATACAGAGTGGGCCACTGAAGAAGGGTAGAAGAGAAGATGGTTAGAAACACTTAGAAGTAGACATGCTAAAAAGGTCATCTATTTGGCCGGGTATGGTGATATTTTATTTGTGCTGAAATGTATTTGTATGTTAATAAAGTTGCCTGGAGATCAGAAGTCACAGCGAGCCATAAGCGGGAGTCAGGCAGTGGTAGCACATGCCCTTAATCCAATCGCATGGCAGGCAGAGTCTCTGTGGTCAAGGACACATCCAAAGCAAGGTGACCTGAACTTTTAATCCCAGTACCAACCACAGAGACCTGGAGGTCTATATAGACAGGCAGTGATGAGGAAATCATGTGGTTGGGTTTAGAGCCAATGAGAAGGCAGAATAGAAAGACAATAAAAAGACAGGACACAGGAGAAGGTCTCTTTCTCAGGGGAAGGACGGCAGTGAGTGGTAAGATAACGTGGTCTTAGCTCTTGGCTACTGCCTTGATCTCTGGGCTTTTAACTCTGCATTTGTCTCTGTGTTTCTTATTTAATAAGACGGTTTAGAATTTCATCTATAGCTGGGTGTGGTCCAGGGCCCATAACAAAAGGAATGCTGGAGGGACACCATGAAGCCAAGAGCTCAAATCTCCAGCATTGAAGGGACGAGGATCTGGGGCTGTCTTATGAGCCCAAATGAATTCTAAGTGCGCTGTAGACACCTAAAACTCGATCATTTGGGGGAAAGCTGGGGTGTGGCTCAGTGGTAGAGTGCCCATTTGACACAAATGAGGCCCAGGGTTCAGTTCTCAGTATCACAGAAAACAAAAATCCATTTTATTCCTTTTACTCTGTGCTGGTTTTTCCTTTCCCTTAGTGTTTTGGGGGAAACAATCCCTTTAGGGGACCTTTCTTTTCTTTCTTTCATTTCTTTTTTCTTTTCAGATAAGAAAAAGGAGAAACTATGTCACTATTTAGTTCCAGACCCTTCTAATTCTGAGTACATGTCAGGGCCATGTTCCCCATATTGTGTGGAGGAGAGTGACACAGTGGAGTGTGTGTATTTGTGCACACACATGTGAGCATGTGTGTGTTGGAAAGCATATGTGTCTTTGTGTATGTGTGTCTCTGTGTGTGTATGTATGTCTGCATATGTGTACATGAAAACAACAGCAGCTTGTATGTAAGAGATTTGGAGACATGGGGAAAAAACAGCATTGCCTCTTTCTTCTCGATCTTAACTGAGTGTCTGACCCTTTTGTGTGGTGGGATGAGGGACAGTGACTCCCTCCCCTTCTCAATCTCTTTAGGACCTTGGTGCTTTCTTACCTTCAACTATAGTTCCATATGTGCTCTTCTGAAGGCCTTCCATTCTCTTCTGGAACCAAAACAGGCAAGAAGTTAAAGTCAGGTCCACATGGGAACTGGTAAGACACTTGGACTCAGGTGACTCAGGATAATGGTCCGCACACGGTCATTTCCAATGCTAACTCTCCCAGCATTGTTTCACACATCTGTAAGCAACTGGCCGGAGTGAGGCAGGCTCGTTGCAGCATAGTGTGCTGTTGCTTTCTCTCACTCATGGGAAAGCAGATGTTCTGCTATGGATGGACTGATTATCTCCACCAAGCTGAAAGTGTAAAACGTGGGAAGCATTCTTCTATGGGCAAGAACTAGACTTAAAAAACACACAAACAAACCAAAACTGAACCATATAGATGAACCTGCCAGGATAGAGAAAATAATTGCTGTGCTATGAATAACACATTTTTGTTTGTTTAAAGTACCAGGCATTTCCAGCATGCAGAAATGTTCCAGAGGCAAAGAGGCAAATACAACATGCTTCCCTGGGGGGGATAGAATGGAGGATGGCCACTCCTCCGAGGACTGGCCTGAGAGGAAGGAGGGCAGGAGGGCCTGACAAGGCTTCCGCCCCCCACACGCCTGGAGAGAGTGTGTGTACCACGTACCATGATGGAAAGAGCCAACACTCAGGACAAGATCAAATTCCCACTGGGAGTTGAACCAAGCATCTTCCCTGCATGGTTCTGAGGTCCTGCTCTGTCAAATAATCATGGTTTTTATATTTTAGCACATTCAGCCAGAAACTGGAGCAACCACGGCATAAATATCCTGTCCAAAAGTGGTGTAATATTGTGTCACTGGTTTTTGGTGGGATGAAAAGAGAAGCATTCAGTAGGAAAGACTAGCCTGTGACACCAGCCACCCCTGTGTGAACTCTTGGCTCATGTTAGCCAGCTGGGTTTTAAAAGCTTATAGTTTTAAAATGTACTCGTACTTGAAGGAATGCACATGAAAAAATAGAATTTTAAAAAATAGATAAATAGTAACAATAAATCTTAGAATAAACATAGAATAATAACAAGAATAAAAACAAGTAGCCGCCATTTGCACCAAACGAACATAAATGGTCTGCTGGTCTCCTGAAGTTGCACCATCTGGTTAGAAATTAAAACATCACAGATGTACTTCATGGGTTTCGGTTTGGTTGTTTTTCTCCCAATCTCCTGTCTCATTCTCTCATTCTGGCCTTCACAGCAATCAGTATTTTGACACTTTTATGTGTTTGAGTACTTGCATATGTATTTGCATCTTTAGATAATTCTCAGTCCTGTTTTTGCATGTTAAACTTCTACATATATGCCATTTTTGCAACATCTTGTTCATTTTTTATTAATAGACATCCAAACTGTTCTGAAATCATTTTTTTCACAACAAAGAATGCTATAAGGTAATCCTCATAGGTACCCCTTGGCACTCCTGCTGAACAGTTCATCTGGGGTACACATTTCCTGCTAGCTAGATACGGCCGGGTTTAACTCTTAAGTGGGTCAAGTCAGCTCTTGCTTACCCCAGTATCTCAGGAAACCCCCAAATCTCCATAGGTGTTGCATGGTGGCACACTGCATTTTGATCACCCTTCTGAAAACAGGACTGGTCATGGACTGAATTGAAAGCACGGCATGGCTTATGTGCTACGCATAGCGCTTCTGCTATTTTGTCTTTCACAATCTTATTTTGCAAAGAAAAAAAATGGCTTTTCTTGGACTTCTTCATAAAAGCCCATCAAGTCTTTTCACATTTTCGGAATATCTTAAGACATCTCCCTCTCCTCCTCTGTCCCCCTTCTCTTCCTCTTTCCTGCTCTGCCTGTCCACCTCCTCACTCCCCCCTCCACCTCTTCTTCCCTCCGAACTCTTCTCCACCCCCTTCCTTGCACCCAGAGAAGAGCAGCCCTCTCGTGACCATCTCTTAGGTACCATTCTTATCACTGTAAGCTATGGCCTAGTCCTTATGAAAATCCTTCAAGTCATAGAACGCTGTTTCTGCTGAAGGCCCGAGACTGGAATGTGAAGGCTATGGTGTCAGTGTTGACGAAACTGAGCTTGCCCACCGTGACGATCCTCTGCAGACACTCATCATGTCCAGGTTTCCTGCATGCCCATTTTTTCTCTTGTGTCCCCTGTGCTGTTATTGACAGGCCACTGGAATTTTTATTAAAGTTACATGAGCTGCCCAGAGCCATACATTTACCTTATAGCTAACTCTCCCCAAATGGCTCCCTTTTTCTGCGTCAGCTCTTGGATTTCTCAGCCAGTGGGGAGATGGGGAGGTCATCTCCCCCCTGGAACCCTCTGTACGATGCTGCTGTCCCATGCTTTAGACACAAGCCAGTACTGATCGCTGGAAGTCTCTCCAATATCAACCCAGAGAACTGTGCTTCGATTTCTAAGTTCATGCTTTCACAAAACAAAAATACCACTGTGCCCCCCAAAAGAATTACTCAAAGATAAGACTGCATTGGGGGGTCTGTTCTGTTTGGAAGGATTTCAGTTAGAACCTGACTTGGTTCTCAGTGCCCCTCACATGTGTACAATGTGGCAGTCACAACCAAACTCAGCAACACTAGCAGGGACATTTTCTGAATCCGTTTCTGAAAAAACCGACAGATTACAGGAGACATATGTCCCGCTAAGAGACCAGTTTGTTGGTAGATATGAACAAATGCCCAGAGGTGAGACAGGGAGCAGGAGATGGAGACCCGAAAATGAATCACAGACCAAACAGGAGAGACCGACAACAGCCTAGGAGAAGAAGGGGGAGGGCAGGGGTGCGTGATGGACGTGAAGAGATGTGGCTGTCGAGCCTGCAGAGCACACACAGTCGGGAGAGTGAGAATGGACGGAGGTTTCTCCTCCAAAAGGAAAATTCTGCTAATTTCCCACAGTGTGGGTGCAGAGGCCATGGGAGATCAGAGTGTGCCCGCGGCAGCAGCTGACAAGGGGCAGGCATTACTCAGGGAGAAGAAGGCAGGAGCAAACGCACACGATGAACATTCTCGTCTGAAAGCAGCCAAAGCCGCTTTATCACGACGCTTCATTTTACCCAGCCGTGAGAACACAGCTCAGGGAGCTGCTTTCTGAGAGACAGTCTTTTTGTCTTCCTTATTCTCGGGTACCAGGCTGGCAGCTATGACTTGGGGCAAAGCAACTGATGCACAAGCTTGACTTTGAGGCCCAGAACTCGGGTGAAAAGCTGGAGATGCTGGCCTGCATCTGTAATGCCAGCCGTGCACACAGTGAGGCAGCCGGTGGAGATGGGAGAGCTGGCCAGAAGCTGTGGTGCCAGCCAGGCCACGGTGTGGCAAAAACAAGAGGCTGTTCGCACCAAGTAGAAGGGTAGAAATTACTTCAGAAAGTTGTCCTCCGACCTCCACAGCTGTCCTGTGGCACCAGTGTGCGCCTGCGCTCCCTCAAACAACTAAAAACAAGCACAAACATTTTCACTGGTATCCACCCCACCCCTCTGCCCCTCCCCTGTTCCTTTATGTCCAGGTACTGGAGTCCCAGGGCAGGTTAGTGACCAAGGGTCCTGGAAACAGCACCCTCTCCTGTAAGATTCAGCTGACAAGGGTAGAGTGTTCGTGTGAGTTGTGAACTCAAGCTGTTGACCTACAGCAGTGTCTTGGGATGTGTTATGGGAAAGGTATGAGCTACCCGGGGCTGTAAAAGAATTCGGTGGTTTTCAGAACAACATCATAAGATAGAATTCACTGACTGGTCTTCTAGGGAAGGGCTGGATCATGAGGGAGAGAACATGGAGATTCCACCCAGGCCTTAACAACCTATCCTGATATCCTTGGGGTGAGGCCTGTCTGGCCTGAGTGGGCTTTGAGGAGTCTGGGCTAAAACGGAGAAGTGTGCGCCACCTGCTGGGGAGCTTGGGGAAAGCCTGCGGGCGCTAGGACTTCAGTTTCTCAGGTTTCAGAAAGACACAGGAAATGGGGTGGAAAGCCCCAGCATGCTCATAGGCCCAGGGACGATGGCATGGAAATTTCAGGGCTCTGTCCCACCATATGCTGTCGCTGATGCTCACTTCACTGTCCAGGGCACCCAAAGTACCAGAGCTCCCCTGAGGACCCGCTAGAGAAAAGCAGAGCGACTCCCCGGGGGTCCTCCCAGCCCCTAAGTGGCTGTCAGAGCCATGGTGGGTTCCTCCTTACCAGCGGGCGGGCGGCGGGGCTGCCTCCAGTCACCAGTGTGAGTCCCTTGTAGGCAAGTGGGGGACCTGTGCCTGCTGAGTGATGCTCTCACAGAAAGACCACTTGCAGAGCCATCAATCCAGCCAGGAAAAGAAGAACGCCACTGTGACGCAGCACACACCACTGCCCTGCAGTCTGTCCTCCAAAGTCGGGGGGAAGGCCTTGAACGACCTGACATCCGCCAGAACACAGCACAAGTGCTGTGGTGAATGGCCGCTTCCTGTGGAAAGCTGTCACCCTGCCCTACTCACTTCCCCTGCAGGAAGGTATGAGTACACACAGCATTGGGAGCCAGGCTCCGGGAAGTGGGGGACAGCCCCCTCCCCCGGGTTCGAGAAGGTCTTCTTGTGACTGGAAAGTGCTGGGGCCGCAGATTTCCCCATTAGCACTCAGGGTAAGAATCTGCACTCCCCCCAAGCCCCTGGGCTCCGCGTCACCAGCTTTGGGTCCCCTAAACAGGGGCAGAAAAGCACTGCTGGTCCCAGAGGACCTGGACAACCCCTTTCAAAACGCAGCTGAGCTCAGACCTGAGACTGGGTGCTGGCTGCCTCTTCTCTGGTATGTGACAGGGCTATAGATGGTCATTGTGGAGTTTCTCGCCTGTGGGACGTTCAGATGGGCTGGGAGCAGGGCGAAGCATTTCTTTACCTGATGGCACCTGTTAAGTACTGAGCCTTGAGCATAAAACACAGCTCTGGCTTATACAGGTTCTCATCTCAGAGAATTCCCCATGATGCTTTCTGTTGGCGGGCAAGTGTGCTTGACTTTAGATTATGAGCACTAGGATTTCAAGGGGTCTGGGGAGGTGACATACTAAGAGACTGGAGAGAGAGAGAGAGAGAGAGAGAGAGAGAGAGAGAGAGAGAGAGAGAAACCAGTTAGGTACAGCCTTCTGCAGCATTTGAGAAGATATAACTCAAGCTGAGCATGGTGGCTTGTTTGTCAGGGGGCTGAAGCAGGAGCATTGCCTTGAGTTAGAAGACAGCCTAGGCCACTGAGTCAGACAGGCTAACAAGAAGCCATAGCTCTTCCTCAAGAGGATGTGGTAGCACCCTGTATGGGTGTCATTGTCCTTTATCCTGAATTCTGTAATGACCAGCTGTGTCTGCTCTCCAGAGGGATTCAGCTGTATCTGGTTTAATGTTTTGTCTTTATCCAGAGGGAAGTAAGTTTCTCACATCCTTAGGACGAGAAGAAGTTCTGCAATAGGAGGAAAGAGCTGTGCAGCCAGGCTTCAACCTAAGAGAGATTTTTAAAAGATCTACATTTCAAAGCAAAGTGGGGGGAGGAAGGACAAAGGGTCCAGAGGGGTTTGTTGTTGTTTGTTTGTTTGTTTGTTTGTTTGTTTGTTAAGAAAGAAAGAAAAGGGAAAGAGAAAGAATTCTGAGGGATGGCTCTACTCCTGTTGGAGAGAATTTTTTCTTGTTTTGAGTTTTATTCACCCCTTGGCTTTTACATTTTCAAGCAGTTTCAACCCAGTAGACAGTGACAGTGCAGTGTGGATAGGGGTGAGGAAATCATCGGGCCATGATCCATCCTGACAGGCTGTAGCTCTTCAGACAAGGCCAGACTCTCAGAAACCTCAGAGTTCACGACTCTTCTCTCATTGTTCCTGTTACTTAAGGAAGCAAAATTCCAGGCCCTTTGCTTTGGTTTGAACAAGGAAGGAAATCTCTGGCCAGCTTATGTCACTAGAGATCTCTGTGGAAGGGAGGGCAGGAGGACTGTAAGAGCCAGAGGTGGTGGGTGACTGCAAGAGAACAGTTTACCAGACACAACAGGACGGTGCACAGACACAGAGGAGCTCACACCGAGGAGCTCACACAGGCTGCCACGGCATGCACAACACCTGAGCAAGGGCAAGCCAGACAAAAACCTCCACTCCAGCCCAGAAGCTATTCACGAGTTACAACACCCGGGAGAAGGAAAATCGATTTTCTTCAAGGAGATGACACTGGACATGTCAATCACATCCCAGGGCAGGCCTCATGCTCAGGAGTACTTGGCCAACAAATCCAGCTTCATGTTGTTGTTAAGGCATTAAAAAAAACATCAAGTTCAGAGGGGATGGAGGTGGGGAGGATTTGGGAGGACTTACTTGGGGAAAGTGAGAGAATATGACCAAAATATATTCTATGGAATTATCAAAGAATAAATATAAAAAAGAAAAGAAAACGCTCGTTCTTTTTGTGCTGTGATTTTGTCCCCATTTACAAGCTACCAGGTGTATTCACTATTTCAAGGGAAGAATGACCCACAGAGACGATGTAAATGTCTAAAGGAAGCTTTAGTTAGACAAATTTATTTTTAAAACTCTGAATGCACACAGTTAAAGTTGAGGCTTATCACCTCCAAGCCTTTGCAAAGCTGTTGTTGTGTTCCCCGTACTGTGAACTCCGAGCAGAGTTCGAAGTAAAAATCAATTTTTATAAGATATCCTTCCTAGATATAATATCTTCTAAGACCAGCGTTATCTGCTATCCTGGTCCCAGATGGCCTGGTGCATCATTCTGTGGTACAGTACGCAGATCACGATGGCCACACCCAGGAAGATAATCATGCCCCGTCTCCTGCTTGGCCAGTGGGGTATCATCCATTTCCACAGTCCAGTTAGCAGCCTGGTGGGCAGGGGCCTCCGCATCCGTGCTGCCACCATCTCTGCCACCTTGGTGAGTTGGTCCTGGGGGTCAGCGCCCCGCAGGGTCCTCACCAGATCGTACACTTCGTTGGTGTAGTACGCGCCCCCATGCTCCCTCACCAGCCCCGCGACCAGGCCCAGCAGCTGTTCAGCTTGTTCCTCGCGCTCCTGGCTGGTGGCGCGGTTGTTCAGGGCACACACGCGGCCCCCGCATTCGGCCACCAGCTCCCGCAGCGCACGGTTGTTCGTGAAGCGCACGTAATCCTGCAGAGGCTCTCCAGCCAGGTCCTCCTTGCGTGTGAACACCACAACGGTCCGCGCCATCACCTTCTCCCCAAACACCCTCTTCACCCCGGCCAGCGCCTGGCTGTCCTGAGCGGTGAAGCGACCCAGCTGGGTGACCAGCAGCAGCACATGCGGCCCAGGCGACGACAGTAGGAAGCAGCGGGCTGTCTCCATGCACGCGGGGTCGGTCTGAGAGACCTCAGAGCTGAAGATATCTGGGGTGTCCACCACCTCCACGTGCCATTTGGCCCACTTCCTGCTGGCCCAGGAGCAGGCTTTGGTGACAGGCACAGCCCCCAGCTTGGAAAGGAAGTACCCCTGGCCCAGGATGCTGTTACCTGTGGCACTCTTGCCGGTCCCGGTCCTGCCTACCAGGATGAGCCTCAGTAGGGGCACCTGTGGGGCCCGTGAATCCTCCTCTGAGCCTGGGGACCAGATATGGCAGCATTGAGTCAGAGTCATGGCTTTTCCCTGGGACTCACCTGTGGTCTAGCCTTCACACAAAAGGGAAGGACCCACAGTGCCTGCTCCCCTTGGAAGCCTGGTGCTCCCATCTGCTTTGGGCTCTCAGAGCTCAGGCCCCTCCCCATCTTTCCTCTCTGCATTTGGATTCTCTGTGCACCTGCAGATGCTCCTGCTGCATTTCAGAAGGTGCTCATCATAACTCTGGGTCCACCAGGGTCTCTGGTCCTGCACACACAGGCCGACCTGATGCTGATCTGACCCTCATGTTCCCCTCACATGCTGGCCATTGAGCACAGGGGAGCCCCTCAGGCCCAGACACGAGTTGAATCACAGCCCACCAAGTGCTCCCTGTGTAAGGGCAGGGAGTGCTCAGTCTAGGACACATCTCTTCTGCAAAAGCAGAGATAATGTGGGGCTTTCAACTGGGTTGTTAGAGAGCGAGAGAAGAGAGCTCACCCTCGTCCCTCGTCCCTCGTCCTCCTCTCTTGTCTGAAGCTGGCTCCCTAAAGAGAATGCCCCCCTTTTAGATAATATTTTATTACATTTTATTTATGAGGAAGTCATACTACTGTGTCCTCTGGAGGCTAAAGGTCAAGTTTCAGGAGGCAGTTCCCTCCTCCCATCATGTGGACTCAGGAGCTGAAATCAGCTCATCAGGTTTGGCTGCTTGTGCCTTTACCCACAGCCATCTCCCTGATCCCCCAAATACTAAATACCCACTTAGTCCCCTATTCTGGAGACCTGGTGAGTGAGGCTCACTCTACTGCTGGATTTCCCATCCTCTGTGTCATCTTTGTGGAGACCAGAGTCGGTTTAGGATCCTCCTTCATGCTTAGGAACCAGTGACAGGCTGGTCAAAGCTCTGAGCTTCTCTCAGCAGGACAAATGCAGGACCCAGGCCCTGCTTTTTCATCCCAGGGGCTTCCAGACCCAAGGAAGCTCCACCCACTTCTTACCCTGAGCTCCCACACCAGCCAGGACACCTTGAGAGAAGGGCTCTTACCATAGGCGCTTTCCTCCTCTCTTGCCATCTTCCTTCCCCCCACGCGTCTCAGAGGACTCTCAGTTCCGATTTCCTCATCCATGTACTCATTCCTGCAAACAGGCAACAACACCCAAACACAACGTCAGGCAGAGTCCAGGGAACAGGAGACTTCAGGGAGACAAAGTAAGGCTTCCGTCTACAAGGAATTGAACATGCAGGTGTGTGCTTTGGGGGACAGGCGGGTGTCTAGAGATATGGTGGGTGCCTTTTGTCCACCATAGTAAAATCTGCTGTTTCTTCTTAGAGATAGCATCTGGATTTTGAAGAACAGGTTCTGGGGAGCCCAGAAAGATGGCCGCAGTGCTGGCTTGACAACCTGAGCTTGCTCTCCTGACCCCTGTAAAGGCAGATGGAAAGGACCAACTCCACAAGTTATCCTACCCGTTTCTGAGCCCTTCTATTTAAGGGCTTCCCTTCCACCAAAGATGCTCTGACTGCAACGCTATTCGATAGAGCCAAGCGCTCTCTGGTCCCGTGTGCCTGATCCCAGGAGTCCCTAAGCACAAAAGCACAGTGTCCCCTCAGTCTGTTGCCCCAGTCTCATTCCAGCTAACAGGCCTCCTCCCGTGGCTGCACAGACACCAGATTCAGCCTCTCCAGCCCTCTCTGGCTTTTCTCTGGTGAGAGCTTTGCTCCCACGTTCTTTCTGAGCATTTCTCTGCATTTCTCCATCATTTCAGAATCTCTTTGTGTCCACTGTGGGTGATGTGTTTCCTCCCACACTCCCTCCTCTG